TTTTTCACAAATCAGTGCACTCCGGAAGTTCCTGACCGGCGACGCCATGGATTGCCAAGCGAGGCAGGGCCTACAAGAGGGCGGCCGCGGCAACCCCGCTGGCCAGGACCGCGGCGAGCCCGGTGCCCTGGGGGCCCTCCCCGGCCGAGATGAAGGAGAGGTCGTCGCAGATGAGSTCGCTCGAGTCKTSCGYGGCCACCGCGAGGTTGCAGCCAAAGGCGTCGCAGGCCTCGTCGACGTCGTGGTAGGCAATCTCCACCACCGTCGAGAGCGTGTCCCGGGGGCACGAGTCGTGGACGGCCTTGATGATCCGAAAGTTGTTCGCGCAGTCCGAGCTGGAGCAGTCCTCCTTGCAGTTCGAGACGGACATGACCTGCCAGGCGTCGTCGCCTACGGAAGTCTCGCAGTCCACGGGGGGGCACTTGCGGGCCTCCGTGTCGAACTTCATGTTGATGTTGCAGTGGGCGTCCGTGCAGACGTTCTCGTARACGTGGATGTTCGTCTCGATGATCTCCGGGACCTCCTCGTGGAAGCAGTGGTCGTGGTGGGACTGGATGATCAGAAAGTTCTTGATGCACTCGGTGGAACCGTTGCAGGTGGCGCTGTCCTTGCTGCAGTTGTTGGCCTCCAAGGCGGCAATGGCGGCGTTCATGGCGGCCTGGTCGCTGCAGTTGATGTTGAAGCCGTACCGCAAGGCCTCGCAGGCGCACGAGTTGGAGGTTTTCCCGTCGACGTTTCCGGCGCCGAGGGCGGAGGGGAGGGCGGCGATGGCGAGGAGCGTGGAGAAGGACTTCATGGTGGATGGGCGCTGGTAGTTAAACGAAATAAAATGGAATCGAACGGAATGAAATGAAATCGAATGAACTGGAGTTGATTGCTGCAACAGTTGACTGGTGGCGAGGGGAAGAATGGATCGGATCCTAAAAGTGGCGGTTGAAATATAGTGCAGTACAAGTAGTACACAACCGTACRGTACGTGAAAAAGATTGTTTCTACTTGTAGACCGAACAGATGTTGACGCCTCCGCAATCAACAAAACRTCGTACGCCTAGCACGGCTAGTCGCAAGGCATGTACTAAAATTTTGGTGGCTGTCGTGACAACTCGTAGTACTTGCCGTAAGATCGCGGCAAAGAAGATTTTGGTCAAACTTCTACCGAACAGTTTCGTATGGTACCGGTACATATTGTTGTACGGTATGTCCATCTAACGAATCCATGTCACATGTTCGGATCGGAAGGCCCTTTCCGGTTGCAAAAGGGAAGGAATTTCGTCCTTTGGGTGAGAAAGTGGATCTCTGGCACGCTTCCGATCCGGATATTGTCGTTAAGTAAGCCCGTTTCTCGAGTCATTGTGTCTGTCACCAAGGCCTTTCACCGATGTTCCGAAACTTTTTTTTGGGTCTGGCAAAGCACGTCCAGTACCTTATCTACATTGAATACTGTCCCCGGTGGACAGATTCGACCCTATATAGGCTTAGTGTGCTTTGCTGGYAGCGAGCGTGGCTTCTCGAGGTAGGCCTTTCCTACGCTGGCAGAACCGCCGGCCCGCTCTTGGGGATGGTGTCCGGGATCTGGGTTCGGACGGAAGCCACTCGAGCGAATGAAAATGAATGAATCCATCGACGAAAGGGAGACCCCATTCAATGCGGGGGCGGGATAGAGTTTCGAAGGAATCAGGGGGGGGACTAGTCAGTCCCCATTTTGCTTCCGTCCCTCTTTTGCTCGCTGACGAAGCCCGGGTGACACGCACGCACGACAGATCGTTTGTGAAGAAGACAGAAACCGGACCGAGGAACGAATGAATCAATCCACAACATCGTGTCAACCAGGCGGCATAGTTCATGCTTGCCACCAGAATCGTAAGCAGAGTACCGTAGGATGACTTAGCGTACGAGTACTAAGCATTACTGTAGAAGAACCCATCCCCTTCACCGTACTACGTGAAGTTTCTACTACCCTAAACGTACCTAAGTACCGTACGTTGGGATACGGTAGCTACACGGTCCGGGTATCCGATCCGTTGGGTGGTATGTGTACCATATGACTGCCCAAGAAAAGCGCTGTACGAATACGTACAGAACGAAAAGTACGTAAATTACAGTACTGTACCGTACTCTACTCTARGTTTCGTACTTGTACTTTGCTTTCACGGAAATACATCATCATCAGCATCGAACACCAAGCAATAACAATTTACGGCAGTGGCAACAAATCCAAAGAACACCGGAAACTCTCTACGACAGTAGGTACTTGCACGGTAAAGCTCGTACACGTACCCGTAAGCTCGTACAAAACCAAAAAATCCAACACCGGTTGGGTCCATCGCTTTTGGTTTCGTTTGCTCCTGTTCCTATTTCCTGATCACTCTGCACTCTCTGTCGATCGCCGATTGCGACGCAAGAAATCGAATCGAATCGAATCGAATCGGATCGGATCGGATCGGATCAAATCAAACCGCACCGCTCCTAGAATCCCAGCACGCACTGCACAGCACCACAACTCCCGCAGCAACACGATGGTCTTCTCGCTTTTCCCCCGCGCCAACAACAACAACAAAAAGAACCCATTCTGGGTGGCCCTTTTCGCCCTGGCCGTGGCCGTCCTTTCGGCCGGGAGCTCCCACGGGTTCACCGCCCCGGCAGCTTCCCTGGCCCGGACGCACCACCACCACGCCTCGGTCCCGACGGCCGTCCTCTCGGCGGTCGCGGACGCCCCGGCCAAGGAGAAGCAGAAGGAGTCGACGGGGGTCGAAATCGTAAAGGACGAGGACGTCGAGAGCGACGAAAAGACGGGAAAGAACGGCTGGGAGATCCAGCTCTTCAACGACCCCTACAACCACCGAACCTTTGTGGCCAAGTGCCTCTGCACGATCTGCGGAAAGTCCGACGGAGAGTCCTACCAGATCATGATGCAGGCCCACCGAAACGGGTGAGTGGAGTCGACGGRGGGCCAACTCGGAACGGAACGGTTCTCTTGTTTCGCGCCACGAAAGGAAGCCAAACGAAGCGGGGGTGTTTGAAACCACCCCATTCGACCACAAACCATGCACTGATTTGTGTGCCGTGTACCAAGCGCTCACCGAATTCTGTGTTATTTTCTCTCTCTCTCCTTGGTTTGTTTGCTCCTTGCATTTTTTCGTTGCGAAGAATGGGGGTGGTCGGGCGCTACCACTACGAGATTGCGGAATTGTACTATGGTTCCCTGAGGGACGAGGGCCTGACCGTTCAGATGGTCGAGGTCGACGACGAATAAAACAAACGGGAAGGACGAGACCGGAGCACGGCACCGGGTGCGGAGCAAGCCTTCGGCGGTGGCGAACCAAGGACCACGCGGGAGGGTTTGGATCGGCGGCTCCCGCACCGAWTCGTTCCCGTAGTTTCGGGCGTCCCGACCGGAACCGCTCGACCGACGAACCACCACACACGCAACAAACAACCCAACCGGTTTGTGCGTTTTGTACATTACTATTCTACTACATTGTATTGCATTGCATTGCATCGGAACGAAGCGGCGCGATTTCCGTTCGTTGCACAACATTGTTGTTGGTGTCACTTTATTAGATTGATAGGCGTAACAAAAAAATTAGAAGATTGCGTTCTTAGACRTCCGGTGAAATACCTTTGAGAGCAACTACCTAGTATTGGCAGCCATAGCGGAAGCATCCGTGTTGTTGCGAAGACGSCAAGGGACAGAATCCATCGACCGCACATGGAAACCAATTCGATTCCAACCGAGGCGATCTTTCCATAGCCAGGGTTCCGCGAAAAAAATSGGTGGCCCGTCCGTTCGGCCACGCTTTCGCGGTTCCGATCCAATCCGTGCGTCCGCCGTGCGATTGCAGAAACAGAAGAATCCCTCCACGCCGGGTTAGGGCCGGCCCTTTGGTGGAGTGTGGGATGCACCGGTGCCGCGGCGGTGGCGTCCGCCGTTCGTTCGTTCGTTCGTTTGGTTTGGGGGAAAGGACGAACGGCTCTGCTCCTCACAGCAGGAGGGCCAGCTTGCCGGCCACGACGGACCCAAAGACGATCCCCCCCACGGCGGCGTTGGACCGAAACCGCTCGGCGAGGTTGTGGGGATCGCCCAGGTCCGCCGTCCGGACCTGCCACACCAGGTGGGAGTAGGCCCCCGTGGCGCCGGCCGCGTACGCCCCAAAGGGAAGAAGGGAGCCGGYCGCGGACCCTGGGCCGAGGCCGTTGTACCCGGCCAGCAACCAGCAGGCGTAGGTGGCGGCCGCCAGCCCGTGGAGGACGCGCTTGCTCCGGCGGCCGGCTTCGTCGTCGTCGTCGTCGTCGTTGCTGCTGTTGCTGTTGCTGCCGGTCTCGGTGGTGGCGTCGCTCCCGCCACCGGGCCCCCGGCCAAAGGTAATGGCGGTCGACCGCAGCCCCAGCCGGGCGTCGTCCTCCTTGTCCTGGTGCGCGTAGAGCGTGTCGTATCCGACGGTCCAGGCCACCCCGCTGGCGTAGAGGGGGAGGACCACGGAGTAGTCCACGCTCCCGTGGACGGCCGCCCAGCCCACAAAGGCCCCCCAGTTGAAGCAGAGGCCCAGAACCAGCTGCGGGTAGTCGAAGCAGCGCTTGGCGAGCGGGTAGGCCACCACCAGGGGGAGCGCCGAGGCCCCCCACCAGAAGCAGTACTCCGTGTGGGGCTGGAGGCTCAGGAGGACCCCCAGGCCGGCCGAGAGCTGGACCCCCAGCCAGGCCAGGGCCTGCCTCGGCCCCAGGAGGCCCGCCGCCAGCGGCCGGGTCCGGGTCCGGGCGACCTCCTTGTCCAGGTCGCGGTCCCAGAGGTCGTTGATGGTGCAGCCGGCCCCCCGCATGACAAAGGCGCCGATCCCAAAGAGGCCCAGGAGGGCCGGGTCCGGGAGGACCTCYKCCAGGCCGGGCGGGTGCTGCCCGGAGGGGACCCCCGCCGCCATGGCCGCCGACCAGTAGCAGGGCCACAGAAGGAGCCAGGTGCCGATGGGCTTGTCCATCCGGGAGAGGTGGGCGTACGGCCGGAGGGCTTCCGGGACGTAGTCGTCGACCCAGGTCACCATCGACGGATCGGAGGTGGCAGCCGCTGCCGCTGTTGCTTTGGGGGTGCTGCCGCTGGGAACGGGAACGGGCGTGCCTGCGTCGCTGCTTTCGTGGCTGCCGCCGGTTGCGGAGCAAGAACCGCAATGCCCTCGGCCGAAACTGCTCGGGGAGTCCTCGCGGCCTCCGCTGCTTTTGCTTCCGGTGGTGATGCCCCGAATCCCGATGGCCATGGGGGAAAGACCAAGGAACGGAAGACCCACYCTTCTGGTGGCTAGCGGTCGCTGTCGCCTCCGCATCGCTGGGGTTGCGTTGGATGCCGCTGCTATCGATGTTGCTATCGATGTTGCTGTCGATGTTGCTGTCGATGTTGCTGTTGCTGCCAAGGAGGATGCGGATGCCGGTGGGCTTCCAAGCGAGCGGGGGCCGGGCCACCGAGCGGAAGCGGTTCCGTCGCTGCTCCTAGCAGTGGCGGGACGGAAGGATCCGAGCGGGGCGGCGTCCCACCGCCGCAAGGCCACCGCCCTCCACAGCCGCAGGGCGTTCCTCGGGCACGATCCCACCATGTGCTAGTAGTGTTGTCGGTGTCGGTGTCGTTGGTTGTTGGTCGTTGGTCGTTGGTGATTGGTTGTTGGTTGTTGGATTGGAAGGGAGGGCAAGAGTCCGGGACCCAGCCAGCAATGCGGATTCCTGCTATAGGAACGGAATTTCGGCGTTCGTGGGATGGTTGCGGTTTTCGTTGCGATGTGTTTGCTGCTGCTATACAGAAGTGGTTGTTCTCATTGCGCCCTTTTTCTGGGACGTTGCGATTCTAGCGTATTGCGAGTTTTCGTTTCTGTGAACTTTTGCGGTGGCATCGACATCGACGATCGACAATGATCGGGTGGTTTCTGGGCATCGTATCGTACGACACTATCGTAGGTATGATACCACAGCATGGGGTGCTTCGTGCCTCGTTCGAAACMCGTCTCGTGGTCCAGACGTGCTAGTTCTAGCATATACTACTTCGTACTTCTACTTCGTAGTAAAGATAAAAGTGATGCTTATGCTAGTACTTCGGTMCTACCKAGGTACTTAATTCTTAGTATTTACTTTCCTGTTTGTTGAATGTCTTTGTCGCAGCCAGTAGTAGTGGCAGTAGCATTTATCAAAGCATAGCAACTTGGCACTATCTTCCTAGTTGTTGCTGTTGCTTGACACGAAGCATTCTGGTAGTAGAAAGAAGAATAATCCTTCTTCTAAACACTCAACAAAATCCTTGTTTTTGTTTGGCACTACAATTTTTGTTGGCTGACACTCCTGCTGCCTCCGGCCGTTGTTGCCGACTCAAAATACTACTGCTGTTGCCACTTTTAGTAGAATAATGCTGGCGTGGACAATTTGGTTCTCGAATGCCCCACGGTGTGCGTCTGTGGTTGAGTCTAGGTCTGTGTCTTGAGTGTGTACCGGTGCTTGTGTGTCTGAGTCTCTCTCTCTCTCTCTCTCTGTGCGTTCAAAGCGAACGGCCAAACGGATTGATTCGAACCATCTGGGGGCGACTCGAACCCTTCGCCTCCGAAGGCTGGCGGCCGGCCCATACATCGAACGAATCACTGCGGCGGAACACACACAGGGTTGGAGATCGCAACGGCAGCGGCAGCGTCGCCATCAATCGCCACAACAATAAAGAGGCCGGGTTCCGCGGTGGTCTGCCCTCCGGAGCAACGGTAACCACGACGTGGATCACCAGAAGAAGGGCTTTTACCGCCGGGGCAGAGAAATCCAACTGCTGTTCGAGGTTTCGATCCTCCCCGGCTCGGTTCCGGGTTCTCGGAACGCGTGCGGTCTTGGGGTAACAAGGACATCACGGAACCTCGGCGTTCTTCTTGGTCAGCAGCGACAAGTCCTCGTAGTCCCACTGGGCACTTCGCGACCGGGTGATGGCCGGGGTTGCGATGCAGCAGTTGGCAACAAAATCGACCGCCTTGAGCGCAAATCCAACCAGAAACAGGACCTGACCGATCCCCATCTTCCACTCGAAAGTTACCCGGACGATACGTTCGTCCGGATCGCCCGCGATGCTCTCAAATTGATCGCTGGTGTACACCTCTCTGCCCCCGGTATAGATCATCTCTCCATGGTAGAGCGACTCTAGGCACACACCGCTGTAACAATAGAGGACTACGGCATAGCCCACCAAACCAAGGAATGACCAAAAACCGGCCCACACCTTGGAGCAATTCATGTCATAGTGCTCATAGAGCCGAAGCGTTCCTGTCGTAAAGGTCGGTATATAGCTCAGCAGTATCACGACGAAACCAACGATGATCCAAACGCTAATTTGGGCACATTTGTGGCAATCATCTTCCGGGAGGAACTGGTCTATTCCTTGAGTGGTGCAGAAGTCCTGAAACGGAACAACCTTTGTCCTTCTGCTAGAGCCGTTTTCGATTCCATTCGGATTATCGATTCCCATGGCTAGCARTCCCATGTAAAGATTCACGGGAGAGGAGGCGACGCTGCCCGCTTCTTCTTTGTAATTGCTGTCCGGATTCAGGTTGGTTCGACCAAAGGAAGCAAGCTCGAGAAGACCGGCACTGCTTTTGGTTAGGGCTACGGTTGCAAGCACCGTCACAAGGAATCCACACAAGTTCAATCGCAAATTGTGCATCAAGAACCGGGTGCGAAAAAAGCCAACGTCGATGTCGACGGCSTCGGATTCGTCGGCGGTGGTGGATTGGATTGTTTTTCCGTGTCTGGATGGCGCTTCGCCACGGTAGCCTCTTCCAAAGAATCCAAATTTTCCGACGGTCACACAAAACAAGTTCTCTTCCAGCAACCACGGAAATATYGTTAGGATCGGCGAGGGCAAGCACAGAAAGCAAGGAGGTCGGGTGTCCCGTTCTGGAAATCTCTGTTGCTCCTCGTCAGAAACACAAACTGTCCCGTCGACGCGGTCGCAGATCCAGAGGCGCGGGACTTCCACGCCTCTATCCTTGTTGATRCTGGAGGCCGTGCTAATCGATCCATGATAACTGCTATCTCCGTCGTTGCTTCCGGAAATTCTGGCCTTGTCGATTCTGTCTTCGAGTCCGAAGCTTTTCCTCGGGCACGATTCTTCGATTTCCATTGGTTGTTCTTGCTGCTGCAGACATGTCCTCCGCTCCAAAACCATGTCGCTGCCACCAACTCCTTGCTCCGCATCGTCCATGGCATCAGGAGCACTTCTCGCTTCGCAACTGGCGATTGCACCTACGAGCGGACCAGCACAAGAAAGCGCTGCCTGGGGCTCCAMGTCCGAAACRAACGCAGTGGGTGGCGCCTCTGGATTTGCGGGGACCTTCCTGTATGGTTCGTGGAGATTGGACTGTCCCGTGGTATACAAGGAATGCTTGCCGTTGTGGGCYGCATCGTTTTGTGTGGTTCTTTCGCTGGTGCTGCCCATTCTCGAGGGGTTTGTTGCAGCAGCTACAGCTATGGATGATGCTTTGGATAGGGTCGCTTCGGGGGCACGGGCGCCCGCAGTATCTCCGCCTTTGATCGAGGACCATTGACCGAGGTTTTCGGTGCTAATGCCACCATCGTCGTCGTAGGCACCGTCGCTGTCGTCGTCCTCCCCGCTGCTATACGCTCTGCCRATAGAATTGTAAAAATCCTCGTCGATGGCAACCGTTCGTTTGCTACAGCCACTCAGACGGGATGCGCTGGGATTGCTTCGTTCCGAGACCAGCGACATTTTCTTTTTTGCGCATCTACTTTAGTTGATRTTACAAGCAGCGCTAGTGTTGCAGTCCATCAATCCCGGCGGCACCGTACGGTACATCTCTTTGCATGTGGTTGCAATGCTGGGACGGAAAGGATCAAAATCCGAAATTTCAAAAATGTTTCATAATACATATTATTCTGTTAGCGTACGTTCTACAGTTGTCTCTGTACTCGAAATCCATTCAACAGACGACAACGGAAAGTGGAGGGAAACATGTGACAAATAGTATSTAACAAAATGGATTAAAAATAACGATGGCGCCATTTTTGTACCTGGAAGAAGAATGAGACCCATTCAAAAATGCAGGCAGTGCTCGTACGGTACGACTCGGATTCGTACGAATGGTATTCCTTGTCAATTTCAAAAATTTTGAATCTCATACCTTCTGTACCTATCTAGGATACTAATACATCCCCGCGGGTCGTTGTGGTTTTTCTGGTACCGACACATTTGAGAAAAACTATTACTACAAGTGTACTGTTCAGAACCATCAGAGCCAAGGCAATCTGAAATTAGTTTTAGGGAAGCACAAATCATGTTGCATTGGCTCATGCCGACGTGCATGGTGAGTAGTCTTGTGGACATGTCTCTATACTAAGCCATTGCTAGGTTTGAGCAATCTCCACGGAATCAGGCTTTGGAGTCAACCGGTATGACTTGCATCCACGTGCGCCGTCAGGCTGGTAACTAAGCTACGTTTATCGCTTGGACAGTACTTTACTGTGCGTTACTTGCGTCTTAAAACAGAACTTCGGAACAAACTGGCGCTCTATGAATACGAACAGTGCCAACACAAAAATGAGGAGTTGAAAAATTTATTCTAGTGGTAGTTTGTGGTTCTAGAATTCGTGTGCATTTAGCCCATCGGATATTAATCAGATACTGATCGACGTAGTGATATCCGTGTCGTCGGCAATGCTTGTGCCGAGACGCCTGAGGATGCGAAGAGATTCCACGAAGATATTGTACACATTGCACTTGTACCGGTGACTGTCACCGATCAAGGTTCTGATTCCCAACAAGGAATGGCTGTGTGAGCGTGCGTCATAGATAAGATCTTCCCGTCGGTCTCTGATTCATTTGTTGTTGATTGTGTGGTTCGTATGAGTGATTGTTTGTTCCCTTTATAATGTGTGTTCTCGTTCCATTTGGTTCGTTTTCTTCCAATAGCTTGTTGTGCATGTTTGGCATGCAGAGAGTGGAAAAGAATAGTGAAGATAGATCCCTCGTTTTTCTGAGCCCTTTCACTGTGCTACAGACTGTTTTCGATGCTTTCGTCGCCACTAGACTCTTGGTCGTCGAATGGTTCAAACTCGATGTGCGATACCTTCCCATACTTGGTCTTCGAATATTTCTTTGCCAAGGCCAGAAGCTCGCGGTTGTTCTCTAGACGTTCCTTGTTTTTCAAGAGAGCTCGGGCTACGGGTAGGACGTCTTCCTCTCTGTAGTAGGAGTAGCTTACCAGAGTGGGACTCCAGTTGTGTCGACCTAGGTGCCGCCTCGCTAGGAGAATGGCTGCCGCTGCAAGTTGGCTGGGCCGCCACAGGCACGTAAGTTTTTCCAAACTCAATAGTGTTCCATCCAACAAAAAGCAGGCCAGCTGAGCCATGAGTGTGTCGGCGTGCGCCGCCTTAAGGAAGCGGATCAAAAATGTGTGAGGGGTTGGAACTGTAACGTTGTAATTGAGAGTCTTGAGAATCTTTTCTTCCATTCGGAGAATCTGTTGTGCAACGAAACGCGCGTAGTGCGGAATTGAAATTAGACGAGGTTAAAGGGGATTGCACATCAAACCAAAAAGAAGAGTGAGAAAAAGAAAATTTGTAAATCAGAGCAAATGATTATGACAACTCCATTGCTCTTTGTTACGGTAGTGCAATCAAAATGATTTCTGGCTGTTTTGCATCAACGATCTTCTAAACCTTCGCTGTTCGTGTTCCAAAAACCGACTGTCCTACAATCAGAGTGGAATATGAAAAATAACGTACCCTAGCTTCCGTGTAGGCCCCGTCACAAATGTAGGTCAAATCCCGGAGTTCGGGAACGTACATCTCCTCGTACTTGGCAGAAACCAACAAGGCAGTCACACCCACCAGCTGTAAATCCCTTTTGGTGATGAGTTCAGTGGTTTGTGACAGGAACCGATCCAGAACATTGACGGTCAAGTACAAAGTCTCCGGAAAAAGCTTGAACTTGTAGTGCACCTCGATGAGCCAATCGACGAGAATGCACCGCATGCTCTCGTTAATGTTGGGCTGCTTGCCGTGGACGGCGCTGCCCATATACATGTAATCGACGGAACACATTTCTTCCTTGGAGCGAAAATGTTCGTACATGTCGGCCACATAGTCGGTGACCGACAGCGGATCGTGTGCATCCCTTGCGTCAATGTCGTCTGGCACCCCGTTCTGGTAGCTGCTGTTGGAAAAGATCCCATCTGCAGTGCTCAGGTCCTTAGATCTGATAACATCGTCTTTTTCAACCGCATTGACGGGTGCTGGTGGTTTTGCTTCGGAACAGTCGTTGCCGGAACTGGCTTCTTCGCTTGCTTTTGGTTCGGAACGCACAACCTCGGTATCGGGGAGCGCTGAAGTCGTCGAAGAAGCTGTTTCTTCGTACGGAAGGAAGTGGTGCTCCTGATATTCTTGTTCCTTCATTGGTTGTTGATTCGTCGCTTTCGCAGATCGGCCCCGTTTTGCGGGCGGGGCGGCCTTTTTGGAGGGAGGAACACCATTCGCCTTCGCAGTCTTCGACGCCTTTCTATGCGCTGCAGTTCTGTAGGACGACGCACCCCGGGTGACTGGCTTCGTCGCCACATCGTGTTGCTTGTGTGTGGCATTCGACTTAGACTGGGCTTTTGCATTGGTGGCTACGGGTTTGAGGGCCCGGGCCTTGCGGACTTTTGCTGTAGCCGCAGCTGCAGAAGTTTTTGCAACATCCGAACCGGTTTTTTGTCGTTTTATTCTTGGTTCGTTGTTTGCTGTGCCGATTGCATTGCCACCTTCCCCGGCGGTCAGCCTTTTTCGTGAGGACCGTGTTAATGGCATTGCTCGTCWGTTTGTTGCGTTTCCTAAGTGGATACAAATCAGGGAATCAAGAAGGTGCTTTTAACTCCTGTTAATAATGATTTGGAAACTATTCGTTATGTAGTGGTGCGTGATTGCAGTGTATCTAGTTTGGTATTGTCGAATAGAACGGAGTGGAAATCAGAGCCCTCTTCGCCGAGTTGCACCTATTTAAATTGAGGACTATCTGTTCCCTCCAATACAAAACAAGACACTGCTGCTCTGGACCTCAAATAGTTATAATGATTGTAATTAAAAGAAAGGAATTGAATAGTGTGCRACAATGACCAGTACTCAGTAGGAATTCGTTCCGGAAGAGGTGGATGGAATGATGGATCGATTCAATGAATGCACGGAGAATCGTGGACGGGTGGCCCGAGCAATGCACAAAATTGAAAATCAGCGCAGAGACGCACAGCATGCGGCTAAAAAAATCGTGCGCTATTTTCCTCCAGACTAGCATTTTTGATGTGGGCGTCCACAAATGACAAGGAACCATCGGTGGATTGATTCCCCTCTTTCAATTAAAACTCCACACATACTGAAACTATTTCAAATATGATCAAAAAACGTTGGGCATATTCAAAATAGAGCGCCAGCAGTGTGCAGGGTAGAATCGCGCCTTTGTTTCAGCTTCAATTCACGCGCAGCGCAGTCTTGTAACTCACAGTTTAAAAGGAAATGTAACTCACAGTTCGAGTCGCCAAAGCAAAAAGAMTCTTAATTAGATTGTGGTCTGGTCGCGCAGCAGTACCAAAAACCAAGTTTTAGGCGGTACGGGTTTGCGAACGCTCTTCATCTTGTCTCGTTGAATATCATCGCGGCAGTGATCAAGCGCGCACTAGGCACGTGGAGGAGGGAATTCAAAACTTGACAATGAATGATGAGGTACCACGGGATGTGACATCATCGTATTTTGTACACGTTAATTATTACGATGATTTTTAAAATTGTTTAGTTCTAAACACTTATCAAGACGGCACGGGTACGATTACGAATTACCCTCCTATGAGTACTAGTAGTACTCATACTCGTACCATACTCGTACCATCAAGAGTCCGTAAAACGAACCGTACATTGTACGGTACCTGAACGTATGCCACTCGTGAATACTGTATTACAGTATGTTATTACTCTACTGTAGTACTACATGAAGGTATGTAAAGCTTCGGACTAGTCCCTCGCTCAATGCTCAGTACGGTACGGTACGTTCAAGGGTTCCTTGCTTCCTTCCAGAACAAGTAACAAGAGAAAGTAACGTAGAAGTACTTTACAGTACAGGTTTGTACGTACTCACAATCAGGGGTCATAATTGACCTTTTCTTACGGTTTTGTGCGCATTTTTTTGAGGGGGTCATAAATTTATGACCCCTACGGTACAAGTACTTGGTACTCGTACGTGAACTTCCCTCACATGGTTGCTGTTACTTGTAGATATTTCATGATTTCCAGGAAATGAAAGAAAGTCATGTGTCCGAATCGCGCGGTATGACAGCGCATTTTCGCGAAGAACAAACAGATGATGATGAATCTTGAGGCCATCTTTCTCAGAATTCTCGCTCACGACTGTGTGATGTAACATTACATTACAAGTAGGTGTAGTATTCCAGGCAAGGGATATGACCGGACCTGTGCCTGGCAGTAGTAGAACCACAGTACGGTAACCAGGTTCTCTCCGGTTAATAATGGGTGATTCCCGCAAACATATTAATATGTAAAAATGAGACCGGCCGGCTCGGAAAAATATGTAAATTACATAGATTTTGGTTGTCGTGGGCCCACGACAACCAGAATCTGTGTAATTTACATATTTTTTTATTGGAATCCTTGAGTTAGATTTTTAGTGTGACTGGGGCCATGCGCACTAGATGATATGGGCGCTATGCGCCATACGGATTCCAAATTCCGAAAATGGGGGGAAAATATGTAAGTTGAGCTGGCAGTCTGTGTCTTCTGTACCACTGAAACGTGTTCCCGCTGACATAAACCGAAATATGTTTGCGGGAATCACCCAATACAGTAAACAAAGATCCAAGGGAATACTCCAGTACAAAATGATTCAGAGATGATTATGCACGATAAATTGATTTACTGCGTATTCTGCAGTGAAGCGTACTGTAGTTGAGGAAAGAGCAACGCACGATCCGCGTCATCTGGATTCGATCAAGAAAGGTTCTCAGAATATCCGCACAGTACCGTACGCTTGTACCCGTGCAAGTACGAACATCCGCGAAAAACTACTTTTTTTTNTACCACGGGATGTGACATCATCGTATTTTGTACACGTTAATTATTACGATGATTTTTAAAATTGTTTAGTTCTAAACACTTATCAAGACGGCACGAGTACGATTACGAATTACCCTCCTATGAGTACGAGTACGAGTACGAGTACGAGTACTAGTAGTACTCATACTCGTACCATACCATCAAGAGTCCGTAAAACGTACGAGGTAATCTACATTGTACGGTACGAGTACCCCATTTTTGCAACCGATATTGCAAAACGGTCGAAGGAGTCTATCGGTACTTAAAATACGTACATTTCTACGTAGGCTATAATACCCCAACTGATCCCACTCCATTTACCACCGTACTTACAYGTCCTACATAAATTCTGGTAGGAATTCTACTGTGCAACCGTATTGGCTTTTCTGCTGTGGTTGCATCCGCACCTCTTTTGGTTGCCTAACACAGAGCAAATTACACTGAGTATGCAACCATTTTGCAACTCCTTCGCCTTGTCACGAGAGGTGGTGCATTTTCAGCGTCACGAGAGGTGCATTTTTTGCTCACAAAATAAGAAACCAACGCTCACTCGCAACTCGCGGTTCAAGCAAAACCCCAACAAGCAAGAAGAAGAACAAGCAAAGAATACTGTAAGTATGGAAAAACAGCAGCACAGCACAGCACAGCAGCCGCAGCAGTATCGAAAAACAGCAGCACCACAACACAGCCCCCTGACTCACGAGAGGTGCATTTTTTGCTCACAAAATAACAGCGACACTCGCATACAAGTATCGCATACGAGTACTGGTTCAAGCAAAACCCCAAAACAGACAGCAGCCGTATTACTACGTAGTACTGCTACTAGTACTAGTAGTAATGGTTACAGCACAAGCGCAAGAACGCACTGGTCGGCCCCGAGCTCGGAAAAGAAGGGGGGGGACTGTAACGCCTCCACGAGATGTGAACCAGCCAGAGCAATGGAGTAGATACCATAGGATTCTACTGGAGCTTATGGATCATGTACATGGAAGAGTGGATGAAGGAGGTCCTATTGAAAATGATAATCGCTTTCCAAGTGATACACTATTCACGCCGGAGCAGCTAAGTCTCCTAACACCGGATCATATCTACAAGTTTTTTGCAAAGAAAGTCTTTGGGAGGGAGGATCCTGGAGTAGATGATAATCCTACTGAGGGAAGGAGTTCAACCCTTGTTTATTACAAGAAGGCGTTATCCTATTTCATACCGAATAAGCTGCACAAATGGATTGTCGTTGCTGGCGTTGGCAGTGGAAATCCTACTAAGTCCCAGCAAGTTAATGATCTTATTGCAGCTGTTATCAAGAAGGAAACCAGAGGGCTTGGCCAGGCAAGCAAGATGGATCGACCGCTTACAAAGGATGAGTTCATGCAAACACTTGAAAACGGCTCAGATATCTTGCAATGATTAAGTTCCAGTTCCATCTGATTGGTCGCAATGATGATACAGCACATGTTGGAAAGGAYAGCTTGGAAAGGTCTACTGAGTTTCCTAAGTTTCTTACAGCAAAGATGAAGTGGTCTAAGAATGTAAGGGAGGAACGCGATTGCCCAAGACAGATCTTGTTAGGATCGATGGATGAAAAGGCGTGTGTTGTGCTGGGGCTTGCTTTGTATCTTGAAAAGTGGTGCAAAGGTGATGGAGCTGCAAGCCAATGGTTATTCACTGAAGGAATTACAGATAGTAGATCACCACAAAAGGATGTTGCAAAAGAGGTKAATAAGGGGAAGACTGCATACTCTAATTTCATCAAGCGCCATGCATTTAGGAATCCTGTCTTTGTTCCTGAAAGACTATCAGAAGGGAAGCTTGGTACTCATTCGATTCRGAAGTTCGGTACCACCTATGCAAGGCAGTGCGGCTGCTCACGGGATGATGTTGATTATAGAGCAAGATGGAASTCAAGACGCCAGCAGGACAGATACACTGACACACAGCTTGCATGGCCTGATATTAATGTTGCATCGAAGCTTTGTTTTGGAGGCATCTGTTACTACAAGCCTTTGCAAGGGACAGGGGTCACCGACGAGTGGCTTGCTTCTTCAGTCGCTCCTAATATTGCTAATGTGTTTGGTAACCAAGTTGCAGCAATCCTAGGAAAGGCATTGCTTTGGGCTTGCTGTGATCCAGCAATGCAAGCATCAGGCTTGATTCCTGAGGATGTAAAGCAGGATGTTGTCGGTTCTTGGGTTCAACTCAATCACAGTCATGGTCCTCAAAGATTGGATGCTGATGTGAATCCTATCAAGAAAGTTGAGCTGACTGCTAATGAATTCAGTGGGCAAGTTCACTTTGATGAGCTTGCTGATCCAGATGACCTGCTGAATGGTGCTGGTGGAGCCGCTCCTGGAGCTGCTGGAGGGACGAATGCTGCTGGGATTCGTAGGACTCAGCTGCAGTGGAATCATGCAATGTTTTCGAAGCTCTTTGCCACAGCCAATCAAGTGAATGATATTAAAAATAGGCAGATTGCAAGTGAAGCTAAGTTCAACCAAAAGCTGAATAGAGCCATCGAGTTGTCCCAAAGAGCTGCCATGGGTCCTATAGCAAGAAGACGTGGTCGCGTCCGAGCTGTAAACAGTGGCGCGTCGGAAGCTGGTGGTCCAGGAACTGAAGTAGCGGAGCTGTGCAAGTGTCCTAATGATCTTTATGTCCTCTGGAATGAATGGGAAGTGGGTGTTGGTCTGAATAAGGCTGCGAAGGAGTTCACTGCTGCTGAGCGAGGCCGTGTAAAGAGCAAGTACTGCAGGCGDTTGAAGTTCTGGAAGTGCATGGAAAGACTCATCAGAGCTGGTTGTTCTTCTGAAGTGRCTGTAAGAAGAATTTATGCAGTATATGGAGGCCCTTCCAAACGCGTTTCATTCATTCTTAGAGCCATGGCTCCTCATGAGGCAGTGGGAGGACACCACATGCTTAGAGGACTGGCTCCTGTTGCTGCTTCTTAGTAATCAATCAATCGACGACGTGTGTCGTCGTCTTCGACGACGCGTCTCGTCGTCGACGCTTGTTCTTCTTTGTTCTTTGTTGCGTGTCTTCTTTCCTTACTACTTGTCCCCCCCTTATATCGAAAAAAAGCATAAAAATATAGTGTAGTACTGTGTATATGTGAACTGTAGTATTTTGCTGTATTTTGCTATCCTCAACAAGAGGACCATCTTAGTAGCTGACAGGAGTGTTAGTATCGACAGTGTTGTTATCGTGATTGTTGAGAATTATTGCTGGTTTTTGCCTTGTGCGTGATCGTGTGAGTACTTCTCATCAAACACGCTGATACTCTTGCACTCCAGTCTTGCCACGCACTGTCTATAAGACCTACGAGTCTTATGTACTGTATCCTACACGGTTGCAATATTAGTTATATTTTCTTTGTGTACTTGTCGAGTATCTTACCTGAACGGATGCCACTCGTGAATACTGTATTACAGTATGTTATTACTCTACTTTAGTACAGAAGTATTACATGAAGGTATGTAAAGCTTCGGACTAGTCCCTCGCTCAATGCTCAGTACGGAACGTTCAAGGGTTCCTTGCTTCCTTCCAGAACAAGTAACAAGAGAAAGCAACGTACTTTACAGTACAGGTTTGTACGAAGTCACAATCAGTGGTCATAATTGACCTCTTCTTACGGTTTTGTGCGCAATTTTTTGAGGGGGTCATAAATGTATGACCCCTACGGTACAAGTACTTGGTACTCGTACGTGAACTTCCCTCATATGGTTGCTGTTAGATATTTCATGATTTCCAGGAAATGAAAGAAAGTCATGTGTCCGAATCGCGCGGTATGTCAGCGCATTTTCGCGAAGAACAAACAGATGATGAATCTTGAGGCCATCTTTCTCAGAATTCTCGCTGACGACTGTGTGATGTAACATTACAGTACGTACGGTAGGTGTAGTATTCCAAGGCCGGACCCCTGGCAGTAGTAGAAACAGTATGCAGGTTCTCGTCTCTCCGGTTAATAATAAACAAAGATCCAAGGGAATACTCCAGTACAAAATGATTCAGAGATGATTATGCACGATAAATTGATTTACTGCATATTCTGCAGTGTAACGTACGGAAGTTGAGGGAAGAGCAAAGCACGATCCGCGTCGTTTGGATTCGATCAAGAAAGGTTCTCAGAATATCCGCACAGTACCGTACGCTTGTACCCGTGCAAGTACGAACATCCGCGAAAAACTACTTTTTTTTATTGCGATGCCTATGCCCGGAAACACAAAAAAACATCAAGAGATACGATGAACTTGAATTCAAAGAGTCCGATGAAGCTGAGCTTGATTGCAGGAACTGTGAGTCGTTGCTGYTATTACATTTRGAGTCCTCGTGCGATGAAAACCGTCTCACCAAACATTTAATGTCGTTTCCTTTGTCGTAAATATCAACAAACACTGTCATCACGGTGACATCATGTTCGCCCATATGAAATTTCGAAACACCATCAACGCACGACCAGATCATCGCAGTCGGTGCGGCAATCTTAGCAGGAAAGGGGTCAGTCACACCTCCCAACATCCCTGCTGGAAGTAGCACAGGACTGATTCCACCTTGGTTCGCATTTAAGATTGGTTGTAAGCTACATGAAATCTTCAGCTTTTTGGCCTTCGCCACCCAGCCACCGGATGCCTATATYATGGATTTGTCCACTGCCTTCTGGCAATCCGAAGTTGCCTACACTCTATCCTACCACAAGGTTTTTGACTTTGTCGAATCAAAAAATTCGGCGACCTGCGAGGAGGTCGCAGATGGTCTTGAATTGCAGGCATTTGTTGTCTGTCAGTACATGGAGGCTGGAAAGAACCTCAATCTGTTTGCAAAAGACGCATCGACAAAGMAGTTTTCGCTGACCCCTCATGGAACACTCGTGACGGAAAATGGTGGGCTCGCCGACTTTCTTCTCATGATCAACGGASAACAGAGACACGGCTGGAGRGCCGTCACAACCGATTTGATCAAGAACGGTGGTGGCRAAACCAAGAAAAGTGGCTTTGAAATYCATCACGGGAAACCTGTCTGGGACTACTATKCGAGTCACCCGGAAGAGGAAGCCGAGTTTGGCCGAGCCATGAAGTCTTTGAGTCCCGTTGCGTCTGGGGCCCTACTACTTGACTGGCATCCACCCTCGGAAGATGCCGTTGTCTGCGACATTGGTGGGGGAATCGGATCTTTGCTTGGAGAGATCTTGCTTCACTATCCCAAAATGAGCGGAATCGTGTTTGATMTGCCGGAMGTTGCAAAGCGAGCCGGGGAMTACATGGCTTCGATTGGATTGAGTGACCGGACCGAGGCCATCGSAGGAAGCTTCTTKGAGGAGTTTCCGGCAGAGCTATCCAAATGCGACGCATTCATCATGCGTTACRTKATTCATGATTGGGGAGACGAAGAAAACGTAAAGATTCTGGAGAACATTCGTGCYGTTGCCTCTAAGACAGAAAAGAAAAAGGTTGTGGTCGTCATGGACCAGATCCTCGACACGGGAGCKCCCTCCTTCCTCGAGACGGCTAAATCGTTGATGTCTCTCAACATGGTCGCTGCTTGTTCATACGGAGCACGGGAGCGTTCCACGGCAGAWTTGGTGGAGTTGTTCCAGGAAGCAGGGTACGACAAGCTTGATTTTGATGGTAGCACGGGCACCAAGTTTATTCCTTTGAGAACAATCCATTCACTCCTCCAAGTTGAAGTATAAGTATAAGAAGAATGAAATGGTCTTGGACCGTTGTATTGAAAGAGCGAATTTAACAATAATGGATGTTATCAGTTCAAAGTTTTTTTTCGTATATGATGAAAGGGAACTATTGAAATGTCAACAGAAGGAGACGCCCGAAGGGCATTTTACAATATAATGAGTTGTTTGCGTCCTTTACTGCGGATTGGATACATGTTGYWTGGTGACAAATTAGTTAGAATTTCAGTCTAACCATCAAGAAATGCAWYATTTCTTGCCATTGCATTGGTTGGTGTTGCCAAAGTGAGCATTGGAAAAGGTACAAACCGAACTGTTTCCGTCGTATTGGTAACGACGACCACCCGTCGAACTCACTTAAACGCCCCTRAGAATAGAACTCRCAGATAGCAAAAAAGGATACGCCGGTTGTTTCATTCGTCAAGGCAACAGGATTCTTGAAAGTRAATTGCGGTGTGTGGTTCATAGGAGCTATAATTTCTAGTGTTCTAGTGCGAGGATGCAACCAATTTTGTTACTCTTACTTTGTTCTCGTAAAAAAGGCCAGGGTCTCTATCGCATCGCTGCCGGGAAAGAGAACGTGGCCCTCGGCGCAATCCAGGGTCCACTTTCCGGACTTCTCGACGAGTGCTCGGTAGTCTCGCCGAAAGGCATCGAATCCACAGCTGACGTAGATCAGTGCCTGGTGCTGCTGCTCTCCCCCGTTGCCCCTTGGTCCGTACTCGCTGCACAGGGCCTCGACGACGGGAGGATCGAGGCCCTTCCGCGGCGGGTCCACCAGAACAACCCGTGCRTTTCGCAGCGAATCGTGGTGTTGTGCTACCACGTCCGAGGCAGACTTGGAGGTGTACGTGATCTGCGATCGTTKCGATGGATCCAGCAGGGTGCCGTTCACCTTGAGTTCGTCGGCAGCGGCGTGAAAGCATTTTTCGTTGTAGGGATTCTCGTCCGACGACTCGATGCTATCGAAGAGGTCCGCTAGGTTCAAGCCAATGGTTCCCACCCCTCCRTATAGTTCCAGGCAGTGTCCAAGGGTTGCCCTTGTTGAGTTGGACGGTGCGTCTGCCGTGGTGTCCTTGCCGCGTTGTGGGACGTAGTTGGCGTTCGAGGTGTCGCGCCTTCCCCTTCGGCGCTTCCGCCTTGGGGGAGCGCTAGGGTCTTCCGGGGTCTGGAATTGGTCGGTGCGGTYGGCCACGGGTGGTCTGGACGGCTGCTGCTGCTSGAGCCATTCTCGGATGCGGACAATGATCCTGGCAAAGCCATCGAGATTGGCCTGTCGGAACACCTGCGGAGGAAAGTAGAGCGGGACGYGAATCTCGTTGCCACTGCCACCGGTGGCACCACCGGTTTCCTSTTTCCCCTTTTTGGGGGTGAGAAGAGGTAGCATGGCCTCCCGGATCGAACCGCACAGCGGATCGTCCTCGAGTTTCTTGGCGTCCCCGCAGCCGTCGACGAAGCGCGTTTCCCACCGCCCCGCTCGGTCAAAAATGCTGTTCGCGTGCTTCCACGTGTTGTTGTAGTGAACCCAYACCGAATGCAGCWGAACGTCCTTGCGGTTCTGCTTYCCGGACAGCTCGACCAGGCGCTGGATCAAGCGGCCCAGGATTTCGTTCTTGGCAGCGGAATCTGCCGCGTCTTCTTTCCACACGAGMACMAGTTGTTGTTTCTGGGTCGACCGTTCGATGGCAACCGCAATGTACCGCAGCCCAAAGGTGTTCCTGCYGGTGACATCGGCCGCTTCCGATGCGTCAAAGGCCGGGACGCCGAGGGCGTTGCACTCGTCCTCCAGGGCTTTGACCAGCACGTTGATCTTGCGGTGGTGCACGGGGCAATCCGGCACCGGYAGCAGCTCGTGGGAGCCGGGAACAAAGAGACCGATGCGGAGCTTGCGCTTGCCTCCTTTCGCCTCCSGGGCCTGGACGGCCAGCCGGGCAACGGTCCTCCAGCCCAGCTTCGGTCCGACGGTCACCGGGAAGTAGGCGTCGTGGCTGGTCCCGGCCTGGGCGTTGGTTTTCTCGCGAAAGAACTTGATGGCGTTRCGCACCGTYGGAGCGGCCCTTGGATTCGACAGGTATTTAAGGGAGGGGTCCTTGTTGTTGTTGWTGTGYCCGCTGGAAATCTGGGCCTCTGCCTCCAGGTTTTCGGATGCAACGGTGGTCGTCTTTGACGGGTGGCCGCCGTTAATGGCGGCCCGCTCCTCTTTCTTTTTTCTTCGCTTCCTTGCGTTTCGAAGCTGCGTGGGGGTTTTGTAGCCGGGATCTCCGGGTTTTGGTTTTGCGGGACGCTTCCGGGATTTCTTTTTCTTCTTTACAATCTCTTTGCCGGTGCCGGTCGAGGTGTCCGCCACGGTCATGGTTGCGAGAGCGGGAACGACGAATCCTGTTCCGTAGGCTGGTATAGTGTAGCGGTGTGCTGCGGTGTGCTGCGGTGTGCTGCTCGTGCCTGATCGCTTTTGCCACCGGGTCTGTGATGGATGGACGGGTCGAGATGGAAGAACAGATGGATTTAGATACCCAAGTATCGGTTTTTGGTACGACGTACTGTAGTTCGGGTTTATTGGCTCTTTCTCCTATTTCCCTCGCTGTCTCTCACGTCGAACTTTCGAAAGAACAACGTGTGATACCAAAATTGAAAGATTTTCGTCTCGAAAAGTGGATGGATGGAGGATGAATGAGGACACCGATTGGACTTGCACGTGAGTGACCAACTCGTGATTCGTTTCTCGATTTCTCGATTGGTTGGCTAAYGCAAGTACCAGTTCAATCGGAGTAAAATTCCACGACCATCCACTAGCTAGTAGTATGACTTCGACAGACTAGTACTAGTACTAGTACTAGTAGTAGTTCTAAGCCTCTAGAGCATCCTTTGGCTTCCCAATGACACCAACCTTTAGTTAATTGTTTAAATTTCTTGTTGGACTGGACGCTTAGTCTGGTGGTCTAGAGCTGTTTCTTGATAAAGTTCCTCTGACCTACTATTTTGTTACACAGGACGCGCCACCACCAGTCTCTGAGGAAAACAGCAATAGCAAAATTTGGTCAGACTGGTTGTAAGAAATRTGCTGTCATGATCTCCCTCCAGCAGGCCTATAATCATGTAACGATGACACACAGCACTCTTCGTGACACTACTACTACTAGTATGACCAATCATATACCCAAAGGGGATCTCATTAAAGGCATTGTTCCTGCTGCTGGAGCAGTTCTAGTAGTAATGGTGGTCTCATGACGAACACTACTGCTGTTTGCAGTCAAAAAGTGACCAAAAACTAGCAGTAGATCTGTTTGGCGGTAGTAGTAGTAGCAGTTGGTAGAAACCAGTACTGAATTCTGGGAACTGTGCTGCTAGTAGTACTACTAGTAATGATTTTTGGTGGTGTTTGAGTAGAATGCCTTTTTGACCTGTAGGCGGGTGTCGTAGGTTGGTAGGGTTGTTACTAATGCGCATTTTACTCCAATTAAACTTGCATTGTACTTACTACAGCAGTTCAAAAACTTTGTGAGTACAAAGGTGAAAAAATAAAAAAGATTTTGGAAGCAAATAAAAAAACAATTGTGGTTAGTTGTTCTTTCCGAAATAGGAATGCTGGAGTTCATTGATTTGTTGTCTAGTAGCTATGGTGATGATTGTTGGCAGCAGTGTTGTTTTTGTGAAGAGAAGAGGTGTTCTTACAAACAGACCACCACCAGTGGTGGAATTCTCTCTTTTTGGCGGCTTAGCTTAGTAGTAGCAGTAATATTAAGAATAACAGTAATAGTTGAAGTAGTAGTAGTAGTAGTAGTAGTAGTAGTACTAGTGATAGTGATAGTGATAGTAAGAACTCTTGAAAGCACAACATAAATCCAATTGCTTGTTTAAGACCAGGCTGAAACCAATGCCATGTCAGCTGAGTGCCATGTGAGCTGAGATGTTCCTCATTGATCAATATTTCAAATTACTGCCTTTCTTCACTCTGTTGATGTTAGTATGTTTTTATGCAAATATCTACTGCTGCCAATGACTGGTAAAATCTGCCACTAATACCACTTGAACAGACTTTGTTTGATTACTTTGTGAAAGAGTGCCCTCAGATTGGTTATTATCCTGCAAATCAACATTTGTTTCTGTAGCTACTAGTAGGGGAGAGGCAATGCTTCTACTGGTCCATTACTTTGTTGTTCTTGTTAGCTAAATATCACTATCAAAGAGAGTGTCAATAATCTGGATGTTGAGAATGTGWTGTTCTGGAAACAACAAAATGAAGACTTTCATGACCACCACCTTTCCCAGAAACAAGCACTGCAACATCAAAGGTGGCTGACAACAGGAGAAGTCTGCAACTGTTGTTTGCCCTGCAACCTCACCAAACTTGTCCCTCATATRCTCATTTATTCTCCAAGAAGGGTCCTGAAACCATTTTGTCTTCAGCTACTACTACTAATATGTACTTGTTGTCATACTACCTCCAAACATACAAGAAAATAAGTACTACCATCTGTACTGACTCACTTGTCATGTCTCCTGTCTCCAACACATGTCCTATAACCCAGTAGCATTTTCCATTCTTACCTGATCACNCACAGCGATCCATTCTAGATTTCATAGTTCGTCGATCCTCGATAAGAGCATCGACTCACTTTTCTACTAGCACACACTTTACATCTCTTGTCAAACAATTGAAGTGGTGACAATTTCATGACTCATGCTACTGTCTCTGTTCCCACCAGGAAGACAGCATCCATATCATCTACTGTTCTTGTACCAGCTGGCCCTCTTTATTGATTGAAATCTTCTTTTTGTACTCATCTTGTATGACTGTGGCAATTCAAAAATAGAAGATATAATTGTACATTCTTAATACTCAATATACATACAGTGATATAATTAAATACTCAATAACCCCTATAACCCCTCATATCACTGAATTCATCTTTTTACTATGATTCAATTCATGTGCTTATCATTGTTAAGTGTCTGTTGGGGACAAAGATAGCTGTTCAAGTAAGATGAACCTCTCTTACTGTTCTATGTGTTCTTCTACTGTGCGTTGATTTTGGGCCATCTAAATACAGTATAGTAGTAATGACTCATGGGATTAAAAATTTGACTTGTATTACTGGTACAGAAAGGCACATGCAAGCAAAACTATTATGGTCGCATGACTGGTGGGATTCAAAACTACTATTTGGTCCCACCACAATTGTGGGATTCAAAAATTCAGCATGTGCCTGTCTGTAGACAAATAGATAGTAGCCCAAAATCTAAAACTATATTGTACATTTCACAGCCATGTATACAATATTGATCTTGTCCTACTAGAGCAAAGCAATAAGAAAGAATTCAATGATCACACTATTTCCCAACATAAGCAAGCCTTACTACACCACCAAGCATGGTGGTTAGCAAAGAAGAGAGTGGTCATATTTCTTTTACCCAAAACTTGTCCAACTGAAGCAAAAGTCACTACTCTGTTTTCACCCTGACCCTGAAGCTTTCACATCCAATGTCATTAAAACTTTCTCATACTAATATACTAGTATTAGAGTTTATGAAAAAACAATCTTCAGGACAAGCATTCAACAAGAGGATACTACTACTACTATTTCTAATAGTAGTACCAATACCAATCTGAATGCTTGTTACTAGTACTACCTCCCTCCAGCACTATTGACTTAACATGAAGATTATGCTGCAATGCTCATATACTTTTTGGTTAGTCTTGTGTTTTTTCCCACTTCTGTTTTGATGGTTGTAGTATGGCTTCTGACTGAATTTATTGTGTCTTGGTGACAGTGGGATTCTCTTTCATCTTTAGTAATTAACCAGTTTAATTCTGGAATGACCAATCATGTTCATGACTCTTCATTTGTGTAGTAGTATTTGTCTCATAAGCAAGGTTCACCAAAATGTTTTCATTGAGGCCTTTGGCTTTGGCTTTGACTTTGGTGTTGTTGTTGGTGGTGTTGCTGGCCTTGCTAGTATGCTCTGCATTGCTGCACCCACATTTGAGAGGAACTGGCAGTATTTTTTTATTAGGAATGAAACTTGTCCAACAAGACATTGACAGTGTGTTTGTCCTTGGTCTTGGTTAGTGAGTTGTGCCCATTGTAGTCAAAGACAAAGCTGTTTGTTGTTGGGTGCAATGGGGCCATCCACCAGGCCATGGCTGTACTAGCCCCTCTCACAATTGCTGCTGTGCTTGGCAGTGACAGGTGCTCTGTCACATTTTGAGGAGCTGATAACACGAAGAAATTGGTGGTCCCCTTTAAGTTTGGAATGACTATTGGTGATGCTTATGACTAAATACTACTAAATATTCTACTAAATATACTACTGCTACTACTACTACTACTACTACTACTACTACTACTACTACTACTACTACTACTACTATCATTAATGTTAAGTCTTGGGAGGAATTGGATTATCTTTAGCCTTGTTGGAATGACCAATTACAGGAATGACTGAATATCCATCAAGCCATTGGAGGAATTAGATTATCTTGGATTTTGGAACAACCAATAATGATACTGATAACTGAAAATTTAAAAAAGAGGGTGCCATTTTAGGGTGAATTGGCTCTCTTTGATTTCAGAATGACTAGTCGTCACAACTATGCCCAAGAATTTGTCAAGAATTTTTGGAACGACTGATGATGCCAATGGCTGCTTTCTTGTTATTCTTGGGGGGAATTTAGTTCTCTTCAATTTTGGAATGACCAATGATAAGAATGACTGATTTTTTATTCTTGGTGGGAATTTGGTTCTATTAAATGTTGYAATGACTGATGACTACAATGCTGACAAAATTTTCTCATTCTTGGGGGGAATCTTGTTCTCTTAAATTTTTTAATGACTGATGATGACAATGGCTAAATTTTTTCATTGTTGGTAGGAATTTGGTTCTCTTAAATTTTGGAATGTTGTCTTATCACATCAATAATGATTGAATATAAAGTCATGGGAATTTTGAAATGACTGCTTTAAGTGTTTCTGTCCAAACTGCCAATATTTAAGAATGAATTATCTCTTTGTTCTTTGTCATGCTGGTACTAATTTATTTGCTATTTGGGGTACTGAGCAGGTCTACATGGATTCTACACAAGCACCAAATTTCTTTGTGTTTCTTTGGTAAGTCCAGAGCAGTGAGAATCATCAAGACTACTAGCTCCTCCTGTGCAAAAGTGTAGGCAGGTGACAATCCAATGCACCATAGTACTAGTCAATTCCTGATTTCTGCAACAATTCATCAACAAAGGAACTGTCAATAGTAGTAGCAGGTTCTGTACTTGTACTTTTACCTGTACTAGTAGAGTACTACGTCAATCCTGCCATCCCCATCTGCCTCTAGCCTCCAGCAGGAGCTTCTAGTACATTGTGTCCTGGGCGGCCACTCTCCACCAAGGAGTGAGGAATGAGGATACCATCGGCCCACCACCACCRCCACCACCAAATCATGATTCTTGCTGCCTGGCAGTGGCGGTGGTGC